TGCTTCCTCCTCTAGTTATATGTCAATCACTTTACTAGAGGGAAACCACTGAGCTGGTCAACCCGGATGGGCCATCCCGAATCAACCGGCTATTTAGTAACAATTTTATAAATACTTCGAGTGCACCCTCGCCCCAGCTTCATTCAATCATATTGTCCCAGCTTTTCTTTCATATTGCCCCAGCTTTTCCTTAATGTAATGTTGAAAGTAAAAATATGTAACCGGGGCTGTTATAGACCTGCAGGTTGTCAAGTCCACTGGAATTCTCCCAAACGCGTACCTTGTAAAGAATGTGGTAAATTGACTTTTTCTAAATATGGCGCATGTGATATTTATGCTAGAAAGTATCGGAAAATGGAACAATACTACCGAAAAAAACTGAAACAAATCACCCAGAACGTATCTGAGAGTAACACCACAGCAAAAGAAAACGCACATAGTGCGCATGTAAGTGATGAGTAATTTATACTCGAAGCCGCCTCGCGAAGAAATCCGCTGACACACTTCAGCTAACACCTCAGCTGACATCCTCGGCAAATGATGATGCAAACACAATCTTGTCGTCACTCGAATGATGACACAAATGCAAACTCATAATGCTGTAATGACGATGTAATCACAAACTCGTCATCACTCGAATGACGATGTGAATACAAACTCATCATCACTTATGAGTGGGTATAATATAATTATATTATACCCACTCAGGAAATGTGAAAATGCTGCAGGACATTGCAAAACTTTATGCTGACCAGAGCAGTTGTGTCATTGTGTTTGTTAGTAGTGAGAGAACAGTGCCATGCATTATGATGCATGAGTATTGTATGATATATTTGTCTGTATCTTATTTCTTGCTAATGGCTTCTTTGCTCTACTCTAGAACAATCATCATGGTCATGTGCTGATCCAGAACCCTTTGTTATTGGAGATCTAACTAATAAAGAGGCATTCACCTACCTCCATGAAAAACTTGGCATTGAGGAAGAGGTCACCAATCAACTCATCCAACTTGTAGGTGGCCAGATTCGTGATCTCAAGGCATATGGTGATAAGATAAAACAAGGTGTGACATTTGAAGGTGAGAGAGCATTTACTATCTGGACGCTGATGTGATGGTAGTATATTGTGTGAATGTTCTCATCACACTTAATATTTTGCTTTTAGTGGTTCGTAAAATTGCACTCAGTGCTGTCAGTCACAACTTTCACCAGGCTCGAATGATGAAGGGCCAAAGAAATCATGTCATTGGCAAGCTCATCATCCAGGAGTTGATGAAAAATGAAAAAATCCATTTTGATGCATTCATTGAGTTTGTTAACAATGAACAAATAGCTGATGAACTGTTACAGGCCAATGTTTTCTCATATAACCCAGAAAGTGGGGTTGTCACCTTCCAGTCTCATGCAACAGAAGTTTTTGTGAGAGAGAGACCAGAATTTTCATTGAGTTAGCTATGTATATGGGTCAAAAGGAGTTTTCACTTACTATAGCCTTCCATTTTTTATATTTTTGTCACTTCTGAAGCAATGATAATAATATCAAATAAAGTTTACCCCCCAGTATATATTGTTATGGCAAGCTGATCTGATGAATCAGATAAATGAGTCACATGGTAAAATCTTCCTCCAGTCAAGCAAAATCCCATGGTCAACAACGTTAATTTTAGGATGTTAGTACGGCATTGCGTTTTAGGCACCATGTCGAATTTTGAGTGTCAGGTGCAGAAAATGTTTCGATTTGCATGTCAGTACAAACACAATTAGCTAATTAGAATATTATTGGTTCTTCATAGAAATTACGATTGTTAACTAATTTTAACTTTGTTTTGATTTTTGAGTGTCGCTAAAGATATATAAGCGACCCTTATTCCATTGTTGAATTCTCATGTTATTTTAATGCTATTTAATGTTATTAATGTTCATGTTGTTAATGTTGTAAATATTGTTCATATTATAAATTGTTCAGGCT